GCCACAACCATTATCATCATACCATAACCATGGCCATGGTCACAATCACCAACGCGACATCATGCTTTCAGTCATACCATCAGGTCACAGCGATGAATTTGCAGCAAGAGTTTCTGAGTGATTCTGAAGTGCAGCATGAGATCGAACATTTGAGAAGAAATTGGATACGGGCGGTGAGGGGAAGACACAAAAAGCGCGAACGACACGCCTTTTAGCACTCGGAGAATGCGCCATTTTCGCGATGCCGGCTGCAATGCCACTTGACAGTAATTGATGCCATCGCGGCTGCTTCCATGCCATCTCAATCACTGCGATGGCTCACTTACTGTCCAAAAGGCATCGCAGCTGGCATCACGAAAATAGTGTTTAATTCTAGTGTCACCAATTCAAACTTAATCGCTAGGAAAAAAGGGCCAAATAACACTTTTGCGAGCACACATAAAACATATTTCATCAAAGTCCTACACGCTGAGAACACAAAAATAACACAAACCCGTAAAACTTGTACACGTTTGAACACGCGTTATTTTGCCCTTTTTTCCTAGTGAATGTGAGAATGTCTCAGCTCACGTTTATCCTCCATGGGCACAAACTCGCAAGGATCTTGGCAGCTCCATTCGTCTGTCGCATCGCTGCAGGGATCCCGCACTTGCTTGCACAAGCTCTCGGCCTGGCATTTCCCATTCAATATCTGTCGACTTTCGCATTCCTCGCGCATTGGTTTGCTGAACGCCGGGGTGTAGCTGTCCATGCAGCACTGGTCTCGGAGAAGTGGGCACCTGAAATCCGTTTCCTGACTTGTCCTGCAGGTCTGCACAAAATTGATGCTGGAAGGCCGTGAATCCCCGCTGCAAGAACTGCCCTTCAAGCAGCTTCGCTTCGTTCTAAAACGGCACAAGAGCACTGGAATCTGTGCATCGTCTGTGTGGCGTGCACCAAAACGACACCCACACTGTGCAATCGCGGCCGTCTTTCGTCAAGCCGGCTATCTGCAGCCACCCCTGCTCAGGAGGTATTGTGGCAATGAGGGATGACTTGTGTGTCTGCCCTGAAGCAGGTGGGAGTTGCGCAGAGACTTCAGAATGAATTTTGCATGATTGACGGCTTGAGTATGTGTATTGATTTGTTAGTGCCTCATTACCGCGATCATGCAATATTCGACTACCTCAGATTGTCATTACAAGTGCGGTGTGTGAAATTCTGTGCAAAAGGGAGAATACCACGGTGAGGTCATTGCTTCAGCAGCAAAGCTCAAGTGAGCTCACTTCTTTGGTCACCAGAATAGCAGCACGCATGCTCCAAGACGTATCTTATGTGGCAATAATTGCGGTTTCCTTGTCCTTTCGATTGCTTACAGCGCTTTCGGTACAACGTTACACTGGTGGCCGCGCAGGAGAGTTTTGCGATGCCAATTTTCTTGCCAACTGACAGATTTTGTTTTATTATATCCTCCTGGTTGTGACCCTCAGGTTGGCAGCAGTGACTGCCCTTGGAGGCGCGGTTTGGGTGGCATAGGTGGGTATGGACGTTCCCTTCGCCCATTGGATTCGTCAGGTACATTGCTTGTTGCGTTGACGCCATGTCAATGCATCCGCGTCAAGGAAAAACAACAAAAACAAACAAATCCCCGTTTCATTATTTAAGCCCCGTACTTGAGGAAAATTTGCCACGATCACAATATGGCTGGAGGGAGAATTTATCAGGGGAGCCCTACCGACTTCTGAATGCAAACGTCAGAATCGCAGGAGCCCTCGCTTTGAGCGCAAAGCTCAGCGGCCGTCTGGTTGATGCAGAATCCGGGCCCGTTCACCTGCGTCTCATTCAAATGGCGGTTAGCTCCACATTCGATGATGGGGCACTGAATCAGTCGACTACAGCAATAACTGTGTAGTGGCAAATTGCGCAATTAATCTTCGTTCGTTTTGACTGCCAAGTAAATGGGCACTTGCCTCACAGCACTCCCAGAATTGGCACGACGGAGAATCTCTTCAGAAGGTATTGCAATACTAAAAATCACTTGATCCACTCCGAGGTGTCTGCAATCGATATGCCAGGAAAAAGAAGAGCCACGGCAAAGAACGCCTGTTGAGTGTCAGCGCAGACGACAAGATCGCTAACACATTCATCCCATTGATCAAATCCTCACTGGATGAGGAAAAAATTATAAAGGGTACATAAACATGCACCCACATACTGTATTCATGTACAATTTGCATGCGTGTGTCAGCGTGTGGGCGTTTGTATACAGCATAAAATTTGCATTTAAGAGCGATTGTCCACGTACTAAATAGATCACGGCAAGCTGTTGTGGACTGACAAGTGCTCACAGGAAGTGGCGGTGCGGATCTCAGGGAAATTGAATTGTTCATAATACGCGTATCGCACCCATGTATTGTATTCATGTATCGCATTCGTGTATCGCATTACTCAGAAGCCGCTTGCATCAACATGGGTTGAATTCTTGTGCGGCATATTTCAATTATATACAAATGCAACAGTCCAATTTTATGAGGACTTGTGGCCATTCATTTCTTTTGTGTTGAAGTACTTCAGTACCTTTTGGTGTAAAACTACAAAGATGTAAAAATACCGCCGTGGAAATAGTGGCCGATGGAGAGCATATCGCGCTGCAACACCATTGGAGTTGGACAGAGATATTACACTGAAAACCTAAACATGGACAATTGGAGCAACGCCATGTAGCAGGGGCGTAAACTGGGCACCGTTCCTGCGTAAATGAAGCGCCGATTATCCATTTCTGTCTGCATTGAACACAAAGAATTCTGCGAGTACGATGCACTGTCTAAAATTTGGTTCATGCACTCACAGTGGTGAGCGCGAGATAATGTGTGGATGGCTGAAATTGGCATCCTTTGCCGCAGACAGCCATGGAGTTGCCGGATTCCTCGGCGCTCTGGGCGAATTCTAAAGCGCAGTTGTCCTCCTTTACGGTGCAGGACTCCTGGGGCACCGAAAACGTCTATCAGGCATTGAAAAATATTCATTTTTCATAGCAGTTGTGCTGAAGAGATCAAAAATCTTTCATGACAAATATCAGTTCGGGTGCGCAAATTGCGTCACGATATCTTAGGTTAGCGCCGAAGCGTGCGCCGCTGAGATGGAGATCTGAACGGTGTCACTCAATCAAAACCTCAGCTTCCACGTGTGCATTGCGCTCGAAGCATGCATACATATTGATTTTGATTGATACTTCCGACACCGGTATGACGCCCAGGGCAGATGATCTTCCATTCAAGGGTACAGCGCCTAAGGGCGATGAAAATAAATTCACAATGGCGGCACATTATCAAAAATATTGGTATCAAATACCTTGAACGTGCACTTCTCGTTTGCCAGACACATCTCCTGTGCTGGCCTTACGCCCAAGTCTTCGGCGCCCCCCCCAACGCAGCAGGGATCCATGCTCGAGTCGCATTCAATATGAGCAAAACCCAGTCTCCTGCAGTGGCAGTCGATTCCAACTCACATTGCCTTTGCCCCACAGAAACAAAAGCAATTCGAGGCCAGGGCAACTTGCTTGCCAACACTAGGACGAGGCTTGGAAACAAGCATCATAGCTTTGCTGAGCAGTTTGCACCGTAGTTTCTGTCAACGTATACGTTGATAGAATACGCAGATGTAGCACGCAATACGCAGACGTATGCAATGAAAAAATATACATACGGATTCACATATTTGGCAAGGACAGCAGGGAAGTCCTTCGCGCATACAATCTCTTACCACGTGTCGTAATTTGACACCTTGCCATCCAGGGCAACGCACACCTCTTCTAACGAATCTGGAGAGTCTCCCAAGTGTCCGCTGGAAATAAGCACTTTCAATGAGCTTTCCAACTTAGAGCATGCCTCAAGCGAACTCTCATTATCTGCAAGCAGAAAACCAGCAAGGAGATAAGATCAAAACATCGGTTGTTTTGGCGACGAATCACAGCTGAGCAATAAGAAAGCCTTGTTTTCACATTGGCGGGTGCGTTGTCCCTTCATTAGGCAATCATCATCGGATAACTCTTGACGATAATTATCGGTTAGTTGTTGTCGGGACAATCGCTAACCGATGTGTAGGAGCACGCATTTGCTGGTAGGCATCTGAGTCCCATAAAATCTGATGAGCTGCGCTCGTCTTCGCATTGACATTGCGTAATTTTTCGACGTAATGGCGAAATGTAGAGGCTCGTTGCACGGAATGTGGAGTTCGGAATATATTTCCACTGTGCAAATATCTTGCCATGAGGATTCTTGATAGTACATCATGAGGGAATTTACTTACACTTAATGCAAACATATGCACTTCCTCCGTCCAAGATTAATGGTCCTCTATGGCATTGGGGCATTGATTATCCATCGCACCCACATGATTTTCCACTGAAACTCGCCAAAAAGTTCTGCATACTATCAAAATATAAATTCAATTTATAAAGTATTGAGTAATTAGTAGTAATTTGTATCAAGGGTCTTTTGCCTAGTAAACATCTGTATTGGGGGTCAGAAATGACAAAAATTTACCTTTCGCTAACGCTCAAAGGGCTCGTGTCTCATTCCTTCTTCTTCAACATTGGTATTAGGGCTACTGGAATCCAATAATTTCGATTTTGGACTTGCTTGTAATTTTGAGGTCGACCTTGTAACGACGTTTGCTTTTTAAGTAGAGGACAATAAATTTTGGATAGAAGCAGTACTGAAACACTCTGACGAAAAGCTGGTGGAAGAATCCGATTGACAGAACACTGTGTATTGCGATTGAAGTATTGGGGGACATTGGGTTCATCGTTCACCCAAAGCAGACCAGCGCGCCCTTTTGAGCAAAGGTGGTAGGAGACTTGGTACTTTATATCAATTGCTTATGCTTACTGTCCTAGTACCACTTTCTTTAGGATCTTGTTGGCGGTGCTTGCCTTACCAAAACGCACCAATTACATCACAAAAATCCCCTCCACCCTTTTCAGACAGCATTCCGTGTGCCTGCCTCCACTTCTGACAAGTGGCCTGCAGGTCGAAGATTCCCCCTATTCTGTGGACGCAGCTGCTGGGGTCCACAGCGCATGCTCCGCTGTCGGTTTGGGTCTCGTCCCCCCCCGATTCATTGCAGTGTGAGCTTGTCTGGTTGAGAGTCACAGCCACGGCCGTCTTGCACGCGGAGCACATGGGCGAGGAGCCCCCCTTCGCGTCGCATATCCCGAGTCCTGCGGATCAAATTGAATGCACACTTTCAGGGGCACGCCGCGGCGCATGTCGGAATTGCGGCGGGTCGTGGGAAGAAAAAAGGTGTGGAATAAAAGTGCGAATCTTCCATGTGCACAGCGCTGATGCGCAACGAAAGGAAGAGGGGTCTGGCGCTGTGTTCGTGGCGATTCAAGAAGAATGGCATCGTTAACTTTCATCTAAAAACAGTATTATGAGTTGGACGTGGGGCAGTACGGATGGAGGGTAGTTTGAAATAAAATGGGCTCAAAGAACGTCTTTGCAGAATCGATTGGGCCCATGGGGCCGCCCGTACCCTCACCTGTACAAGTGTCCTCCGGCGACAGGTCGCCGCTCATGCCAGAGCACGTGTTCCAGGTTCTGCACAAATGGGCCACTCTGTCTGGCGTCGATGTGCGCAGGTCGGTGTCTCCCTCGTGGCTGCACAGCTCCTTCAGTCCAGCGGGGGGAACGCATGTGTCCCTGCAAACCACAAAACAGAAACCTTGGCATTGGTGCATTGGACGGTTGCTGCAATGCTTTCGAGCATTCCGTTTCACAGAAGAACATATGGCAGCACAGGAGAACTGTCTGAGGAGGCTCGATGACCATATTTCCATTTGAACATTGCCTGGGAACGAGGCGTGCCCAGTCAGGCCTTCGCAACGGGGCGAGGGGCTCTAGCACCAAAAATGTTTCCCCTGTCCGTGCAAGGTTGACACTCATTCTGTGGTCACGAAAATGATGCATCATGTTAGCGACCATCATAATCTGGCGCCGCCGCACGCTCCACGGCATCGCAGCTATTCTGTGATCAAGCGCTGCTGCATGGAAACGGTTACAGGCCTCGCCGGAAAACGCGGCGCGGGTGAGGCCAATCCCCTCCCGTTGTACCGAGTCCACCTACTTCAGTTGGCACTTTTCTGCATCGCATTGGCCCTCTGGTGAAGACATACAAAAGGACTCCTCTATGGATGCGCAAACGCCCTGCGCGACAGAAACCACGCCAATATTTCATGATGCAAATGCACGTGATGCGCCACAGCAAGTTATCCCATATTGCATGCTCCGACATGAGACGACACAGCGAAACACGTGAGTCTTTTGGCCATCTAGGGGCAAGATTTGATGAATTTTGCATGCAAGAAATACAGTTTCTGTCGTTGTGCACATAGTCCCATTGGTTTGTGTATCCCATCGCTGTGCTTAGGTGGCGTGTGCCGTGCACTGGCAGATGCACTGTGGGGATGTGGAGGTGCTTCCAGACCGCTCGAATTGCCCAGACATCAGAATGGCATGTAAAGCAAACTCGCATATGTCAAATGGGCAACGGAATGGTGTACGAATGCTTTCCTGCACCCGCATCCATGGTGGCGTGGTCAGAGCTCAGGCCATGCACGCTCCCTGCACAGGAAATTCCGCTTCTACGGATCACAACATTTTGCATTTATCAGTTCAAAAATGCACAATTGAATTTACCTTGTGTGCAACATGGAGCTTAGCCACCACCCAAACGCAGCTTCCCAAAGGCATCGCAGCTATGCCATGAGCTACCAGACATCACTGGCCCTTATACAAACAGGGAAGGTATATTCATTTTCATGCTTAACACTGCAGCCACGTGCTTACCACAGTGGGTTCTCCCTCGTCGGCGGTGTACCCCAGTTTGTCGCTCTGCCCCTGGAGTTCTTCCCTTATCAAATCAGTGCTGTCCTCCCTGTACTTTCCATTCTCCCACATGATCGATGATATGGCAGTGGCCATATTCAGACAATCCTTGCACGAGGCGCAGCTTTCACCTTCCCAAAACGGCAGACGCTCCTCAAAAGGGTGCTCACAGTTCTGCCCCGATGATCCGCCAATAGGTGAAGCTCAAAGCGAGGTCTTTCTAGTGACATTCCTTTCTTTTTAGATTTCAAAATATTACATCACATTTCAGTGATTCAATATTTTGGAATCTGCAAAAATTCTTTGCTTCTGCTCAAAAACGTGGCTTGATTCAGACCTTGATCAGATGTGGCACAATTCAGCTGCAAGCGATTGATATTGCATCAGCGCTACGGCTGAAACCATCTGCAACCTGCTTTCTTGTTTGCATCTGTGGTAAGATTGCTGCATGAAATTCGCAGCCGCCGGATATCGCAGTGACATGAGGGTCTGCAGCATGCAGCGAAGCAACCTCGCAGGAGCGAATGTGATTGAAAATCGTTGAGTGGAAATAAGGCCATTGCAGCAAGTATCGAATCCATGTTCCATGCGTGATACCCATACCCAGGACATGCAATTTCTTCCGAGTAATGAACACGGCGCCGCTCAACAGGCACCTGCTGAAAACTGAAATAACGGCCTGTCCTGATCCAGTGCTTCAAGCACTGAAGGAGCAGGAATCACATATAGATAGAAACTTGCCATCTATATGTGAAATTTTGATTTTCGGCCTTGCAATACTGGAATTTTCAATGTTGGACACCCAAGCAAATCCAAAATATCATATATCTATCCCAAACACTGGCGTAAGGCCTTTGTCTGGAGAACAGACCCACCACAAGTGTCGCCACATTTGCCCCAGCGCTCGCAAGCAGCCGTCGCATTTGACGGCCCAGCGCCCTTCACGTGCTGCACCAGCAGGGTGTAGTCATTCGCCCCTCCAAGAGGCACGAAAGCGCACTCTGCTTGGGCGTTGCAGTCCGACTGTATCCTCCAGTACAGAAACAGGTGAGTGTCGCATCGGTGAGAGGTCTGTGGTGAACTGTCAATGGCACTCCAGAATCCAGTGTGGAAATTGCCAAGGCGAACTAGAAGATTTGTACAGCAAGCGAAACTTGGCACGAGCTTCTCCACACGTGGACTTCATTCGGGCAAGGAAATAAGAAACCTTCTTCAGGCACGGACTTGCGCATCCCGAAATATTTGCTGCCCAGGCATGGAAGAGTTTCTCAAAGATAATAAGAGCACCAAGATAATATGTTGCATCGTATCGTGCTGGCATTGTGTTCTTTTCGCAACTGTGGCATCTCCATTGATGTGAAGTATTTCCGAAATGTGATTGCGTCACAAAGTCCTTGCGGCACTTCGAATACTCACCGGGTGGGACCTCCATCGGCAGCTCACGCTGTGCCGCTCACCGTCGATGGCAGAAGCTTCCAAACTGCCAAATGTAGTCTCCACATCGGAAGACGGGGCTTTTGCCAGCCCGTCCAGAGTTGGGATGTCGCACGCCTCGTTTCTGACAATGCACGTGGCCTGCGAGAAAGCTGAGAAACATTCTGCAGCACTGCAGTTGTTCTGTGGGTGCAATTTCCCCATGTGCATCATCCGTCCTTTAAATACACCCCGATGTCGACATATTATCGCGGCTTCTGATTTTTTATTTGTCCAAAATCGTGGAATGCGCTCAGCAAACATGATTCCAATGCGCCATTTGCAAGTTCCTACGTATGTGGTGTGCGCGGCAAATTTCTATGTCAAAATTGCAAGCCGATGCTCCCTTCCTGAATGTTGATTTAGTCCAACGAGCAGTTGCCGTTTCAATGGGACATGTGTCGTTTAAGCTGCGAGTAAACGTGGCGCTGCATGGAGCAGAAGAAGTGGAGAACTGCATAAATGATTTTGAGAATGGTGATGCGCTTGAACAGCCAACTTTTATATCTCCTGGGCCTTTCAGTATCTTACGTGATCTATTTTGCTGTCCAGCCGCCACGCAGTTGCTACTCTCCCAAATATTCCTCGTTCTCTGCAGTGCAGCGAGCATCAGCACGGAATGATCTAAGTGGGCTTCCGCGCAGCCGTTCACGCGGTACACATGGCGTGCCGTCCTTGCCCCTCCAACATCATTTGTGTCATTTGTATTTCAATTATTACAAATGTTAGTGATACTTCCATTGCCTAACAATACGCACTTTTTCATTTCATGAACTGGTAAATAAGCAAGCATACAAATAAAACTGCATTATTAAATATGCATGCATCTATGTAAGTAAGCAAATAAATAAGTAAAAATATAAACCCAAAGCAAAAATCCAAATAAACAAATAAACACATACACGAATAGACAAGTAAGCAAATAAACAAAAATACAAATAAACAATTAAGCAAGTAAGCAAGTAAGCAAGTAAGCAAGTAAGCAAGTAAGCAAGTAAGCAAGTAAGCAAGTAAGCAAGTAAGCAAGTAAGCAAGCAAGCAAGTAAGCAAATAAGCAAGTAAGCAAGTAAGAAAGTAAGCAAATAAGCAAATAAGCAAATAAGCAAAAAAGAAAGTAAGCAAATAAGCAAGTAAGCAAGTAAGCAAGTAAGCAAGTAAGCAAGTAAGCAGATAAGCAGATAAGCAGATAAGCAGATAAGCAGATAAACAAATAAATAAATATATATAAATGGTTTCATTGTGCAATGCTTTGGCATCGAGCTTCGCGGCCAAGGCTCATGCCCACTTGAAACAAACCTCTCCAAGCTCAGCATGTTGACCAAGAAGCACGCCTCCCGAACGTAACTCTCATCGAAGTCCAGGAGGCCGCTGTCGCGAAGATTTTGGCCAACATCCACGACTTCCACGCACAAGTCCGTGACGGCGCTCTTCAAATCAAACCACGCAGGGGAGTCCACCGGAAGGGATGACGTATCTATTTGCACGCCCTCCGGGGCCCATGCTAGCGATTGCGCGTTGGGGGCGGCTGCGGTGCTTTGGGTGACATCACCTGCAAAGGCACATCGTTTTGTTTGTGGCAACGCTCAGAGTTGGGCAGAACTCTTTTGTGCCTGTGCACTGTGCGTCACGAAGCTGATGCCGCATGTTGGGAGTCTGTGACGCAGTATGCATGCAGGGGCTCCAACGGAACTGAAAAGAGTGATCGAATAACAAGGAATGGGTTTTTGTCCAGAATTCCTGTACCATCCGCTGTTTCCTGCAGACATATGCCAATGAACGAGATTATATCATCCCTCTAGTGCATGCGTTATTGCATCCTGTCTCTTTCAGAGTTGCTGTCGGAACCCATGCACTGCAGACGTGTTACGTTATAATTTGAATGATCTTGTGGCAAAAAAATCTAAGTCATTATCTTGCATGCGAAAATACTGTCGATGTTCAGTCAACCCCACAGTGCCGAAAATCCTAAATACTGCCAGAGTGACTCAGCTCAATGGCTGGAAACCCCGTATCGGGCGCTGTTCGTGGTTTCATGTCCTGTTCCCATCCATGAGCCACACAGCCTGGAGCACGCTCTTGCAACTGAACGTCGGCACTGGGCGCCTTCCAAATCACGCACAAGTGCATTTGATCTTATTTTGGACAGAAAAGTGATGGGAAACTCCTTTCTAACGATCTTCGCATTGTTAAGCGTCCCCCCCCCCCCCCCGGCCGCCACTGTTTCCCAGCATCACCTGCTTCTTCACATATTCCGCGCGCATCCTTGGAGGGAAAGTACAGCAAGACTTCCAGCACGGGCTTCTGCATGGCCTGGCATATGAGCGATATCGTGGCCAGGTCTCTGGCGTTTTCCATGCACTGTTTGGCGTGCACGTGCTTCTCTTCCTTGCACGCAATGAACTCTGAAGACTCCGGATCCTGGTCGGCTGAAGACAGCAGCTTCTGACATTCTGTGCCGCGAGGCGTTACTCTCTTTGTAGAGAGCATCAGCTTGCACAGCGTGCAGCCGTTGGTGACGTCATCTTCCCCCGAGCACAAATTGAGACCTGCTTTGCATTCAATGTCACCGCGCAGTATAGCATAACGACGAAATCCACGGTGATGTATACTGAAAATTTTGAAAAGGCGACCCATCATCTGCCATGGCTTTTTGAACCTCACTGTAAAATTGCTGCAGTTTTGGCTGTTTTCCTTTCTCCGAAAAATAATAGATTTTTACCACACCAGTATGCAATGTTGCTGAGTCATCCTGGCTTCGACATAAGCGTTGACGCTAAGGACGGGGCAATATGGCATTACGAATTAACGAGGCGAAGCCCCTCCTTTTCCACCCAAATACGGGGTTCTGAGATTAACGCCAAATTAACGCTAACCGTACCAAAATCGACATAGCGTCTTCCCCACGTTACGTGAATTTCGCTAATGTTAAAACCGCGCGGGCGCGTGAGACATAGGCACCAAATTAAGGCGAATGATGCCTTGGGGAAAAAAATATATATATATATATATATATATATATATATATATATATATATATATATATATATATATATATATGTTAGTATAAGGTGGGTTGGAGAATTTCACGATAATCAACAAAACTTCTGCCATCGTACGCTTCGACCAATACCCGATAAGCGGTGCACAAAATAGCGACACTAATTCATGGCAATTCGCACGGGCGAAGGGCCCAAATTAAATTAAAACTATTGAAAAAACGGGCATCGACGATGTGCCACTTGGCTGTACATACAGCAAAAAGTGGCGTCGATCCCGCCCAGTGCGGTCACCTGGAATCTCGTCACTTGAGCACATTTCCCACAAACGCTCGTTGGGCGTGCTCCAACCCTCATCGCACAACATCTCAGCGGCACATTTCGAGTATGAATACCCGTGTTCATTCCCCACTGCGGCTCCCGCGCAGCTCTCCTCGCACAGCTGCCTCATTTCGCACATCCTTTGGTTTTCGCCGTCCATCACATTGTCGCATTCGGCTTCGTTGGTGATTGCGTCGCACTGGACACTGGATGTGCGGCAGTGCCCTCCTAAGTGAGCATGAGGAGGCGCAAAATCAGCTCGCTGAGGTAAACCGCAATTTGGATAGGATTTAGAGGTCTGTTGAAGTCCAGCTGTGCTTGCGGCTTGGAATTGCAAACAATCATTCGTTTCGTCCAGCCATTTGCAATGCAATACTTTCAAACGTCTTTGCGTCAGGTTCTCTTGCGAAATGGGCAAGCGGCACAGAAATAGAATTACGAACATGAAAATGCATTGTGTGTTTGTATCCGGGAGCCGCACTTTGGCGTGTGAGTATCTCACATGATTATTGCAAAAAAATCATGCCGCTGCCAAGCCAGATGAATCGTAGTCATGACATTAGCAACACAGTTGCTGAAGCGCACAGCTGGCCATGGAGTATTTCTCAATGGATGGTCCATCCGCCTATCCAGCAGTGTCCATTCTTGCAACGATGCTTGCCACAGAGCCGGCCCGAACGCCGTTTAAATACGCAAGCACTTTGCACACAGTAGAACTCTCATTCGATTCTTGCGCAACTGAGGTCAACATGCTGCGGCACGCTTGCGGAAAACTGTGCCGCAAGAGGTGGTGCGTTGAAACCAAGGCAATGAGACATCCGTGCAATGCGGCATGGCATGTGCTTTGTGTGGGAATGTCACCTGCATCATCCATGACCACCTCGCAGCCATCTGAGCCCTGGCAAAGAGAAATTTCTTTACTGTACCGACTGCAGCTGTCCTGCCATTCCTGTCGCCTGGGAACCGGGCAAGTCAGTAAACAGCCGCGCAAAACAATACGATACTGACCGGATGGGTTGCATGGATGGACGGACAAGAATTCAAAAACAGAGTCCGCTTAAGGGAGTCCTTGTCTCGGCCATCCCGAGTCACCAATTGTGCAATTCAGCACCCGGTAACATGAACTTCAAAAGGCAAACCCAGGAGTCTCCACTGCGCTGAGCTCCCACACGACCGGAAAGCCGCGAGCCAGCCGAAGAGCTCCGCCATGTAATCAGCCGCTGAATCCGCGCGCACACTGTCCCACAATATCAAGGTCGCTGATTCTGGCGGAGTTAAACGAGGCTCGCTACTCGGCGCTTTGGCCCCGCACTCCCTCACAGGCTTGTTACTTGCGGCGTAACACAGCCCGTATTTACGCTGTCTTACGCTGTTTTACGTAAATTACGTAAATGCACGCTGCATTTGCGCCGCAAACAACAAGTCTGCCCATTCAGCAGGAAAGGGCGTGTCTATAATCGGGGGTGCCACTCGATTGAGCTGTGAATGCACATGCACAAAGTCCTTCATGGCCAGTCACCTCACGCATCTCGACACCGATCTGCAGCGCACGTCCTCGTCGCACGCCTTCCACCCTTGGTGGCACCCGCACCGCAGGGGCGGCAGGTAGGCAGCGCCGTCGACGCCGTAGCAATCAGCGGGGCTGCCGGTGGTGCTGGCGGCGCCATCCTCTGGTCCTGCATGGGAGCTATTGAGGGCCGTGTCATTGTAGTGACAGTAGTGGCGGTAGTGACAGTAGTGCAGTGCTGTATGGTGCTACTATACACTGGTGTTATAGCGCTACAGCTCTGTCAGCGGCAGTGCCAGTACTGGCCCAAAGCTCGACGCGCATGGAGCATGCAACGCTCCAGACGGACTCTTTCCACGGATGGTGCCTTAAGGCCCACGATAGCCTCGCGTGGGAAATGAGCCTCCTCGCGCGGATAACGCACATCAGAAGGGCAACGAGTACATGTAGCATTAGGCCTCGTACTTTGGTCCAGCAAAGTGCAGGATGTGGAAAAGCATGGCTGGGCCTAGCGCATGAATGTGGAGGGGATTCACATCGACGATATTCCTGGGATCTGCTGCTATTCGAAATTTTCATGCCGTCCTCTTTCTGAGCATCACCTGGCAGCTCGCTCCAACGCTCCGCCGATTGCAGAAGCTCTGTAGTTTTAAAGGCGGCGGCAATCTGTCAGCACAACGGTGACGCACGATTTCAGTAGGGCGCCCTGCCCTAGAGCATAAACTGCCCGGCCGCAACTGTGGACGAGTTTCTGTCACACAGTGCTCAGTCAGGGACAGCTTCCTGTGGCAGCTACGGCTCTCGGTCAGGCACAGTTGCCAGAGGAAGTGCATTCGCGCCGCACGCTGTGGAAAAGGGAGGGCGCCGCTGCAGCTGAGGCTGCGAGGCCGCTGGAACCGCCGCCCCGAAGCTGGTCGTTGGCACATCCTGCAGCTTTACAAATCGTCCGCAGGCCACCAGCGGAGCGACCCCTCTGCACCGTCCCCCGTCAAAGTCTGGTCAAAGGAGCAGAGCGACCGCGACAACAAATCTAGGAAATTTTCAAAGCCTCAGCAGCTGGTCATGACTCTGCGCACCGGCTGCGAAGCGCAGCGGGCCACCGTTCGCCCACCCACCCCCGCGACCGTCCCCTCTGCGGGCGGCGTCCTGTTACCTGTGCTGTGACTGCAAGGGCGACAGCAAACCGCCCCAACTGCCGCAGCTCCCCTGGGATCCGCCTCGCTGCCCCCATTTCGTCGCAGCGCCCACCGGCTTCCCTTCCTCGAGCCGCTCCGATCTGGGACCCAGGAGCGTCGGGTCGAGCCCAGCGATGGGGGAAGTCCTGTTTTCACTGTGTTCGCCGCCGGTGGTTGACTAATCCTCCGGCAGTTGGGGACGGATGAGACGCTGCTGCCAATTGCTTCAGTTTTACTTTCCATGCCGTGCGGTGAGACAGAAACCAGACTTGGGGAGTATGCCAAGCTGGTGTGCACACAATCTGCCTTGTCCAGAGGAATGTGTAGGGAAACATGGCGGCAAAATGGTCTCTAAATTTGCTGAGAGTGTCGACGCAGATGTTCACCGAGTGATGGCTACCAAGTATTGGCGGCGAGCAGTACCTTCGGGGATGTCGCAAATGTACTCAGACTGGCGTTTGCCTGTTGGGCCCACAGGCGGAGTTTCTTGTCAGGGCGCAATGATGATCCGTGCGCATGAGTGCGCTTGGTGCACCACTCGCCACGGCAGCAAACACAGCCATCCACCAACTTCAACTACACGTTTCAGTGCCTGCTTGGCGAACCAGTACTGGTTCTTTGCCGTGTGCATTAGTGCAGTAGCCTTGCTGACCCAACAAGCCATGCTCCATTGCAACATGGGATCACTTATCTCTCAGCAGTGGCCATCAGAACGCTGGACGACGGCATGTATGCTCAGGGTGGGCTGGTTGTACACAAGAATGCTGGGATTCCACAGTGCGGGTCACACTGGAGCCAACAGGCTGTCGAGGCCAAGGATGGCATTCAAAATGCGGAGGACGATGCCCTGCCAGGTGATGTGTGGCAGGGCGCCCATGTGCGCTCCGGGCGTCCAAGTTCTTGCACCATCGCATCAGACATCCTGTGGAGTGTGGCTGTGCACGCCATCCTGTGCTTAAAAATTGCTGGCCAGTGTGTGTCATGCCAATGCACGACATCTGGTTCTCGTCGGGAGGCTACTTGCGCTGCTTCTAAAACAGCCACAGCCTTATTCTCTTCATACAAGCGTTGCAACTCCGTTGCTGTGCCTTGCTCATTCAGCAGAATTGCCCATGGGCGCCAAGAGCTGTCTCCTGGCCCACGGGATGGCATTGGCTTGTGCCGAAAAACTGAAACACAAAGAGTTTTACAGCCCTGAACTCAGACACAGAACGATGGGCCACCTGCGGCGGCTGTGTGGAAGTCAGTTGCTTGCAGGCATTGGCAAGACTCGCTTTTGGTGGTTCTGCCCGCCCATGTTAGCTTCCACAGAAACTGGACAAACTGAACTTCCTTGTACATTGAAATGCCATTCAATGCTCAACCCACATTTACTCCGATTCTTGATACCCTCCCCCTCCCCTCTTGTGCTGTTCACACATCATACTTTTGCGAACTTACCTTGGCGCTCTGGAAGAGTTCCATGGTTTTCAGTCTACAGCATGGACAAGAATCTGGAAAAATATGCAAAGGTGGATGCCCAAATATGGTGTTTTTTTCTTTGCCAACGACTTACAGTTCATCCAGAACATCCCAAAATGAGTGTGTCCATTTCGCACGCAAGAGGAACTCCTTATTTGCCAGAATACTGCCCCAAAGTGTTGTGAACATCATGAGCCACAAAGCTGTTGTGAATGAGTTAACAGGCCCACTCTCCAAAAACAAGCAGTGGAATCCAAGCAGCGACAGATTCCAACACAAGGATATCAAGCTGCAGGTTTGAGTGAGCGTACATCGCATGCAAGACAAGTGGACTGTTGAGAAAACCTTCACAAGATTCATGTACCAAAAACACTGTAAGTTCCAAATCTCTGTTCACAAAGTTGGTGCCTTCATTTTTGATCCTGCATGTGCTACCACAAGTTTGGATATATGATTGACTCTGGTGTCACCACAGTGCTGTGGGTGTGTGCTGATGGGAAAACATTGATTCAGGCTAGGACTTTAGCCAATAATGGTCAAAGGGTAAAGAAGGCAAACAGTGAATAATGCCTCTGCCTGCAACCAGTGGGGAACGCCAGCAAATGACAGAGGGTCTAATTCACATGCGCATACCCTGCAACACCAAGAAACTTTGTGAATATCCTGCAGATCGATTGTGTGCACAATGCCAGACCACACACTTACAAATCTAAAGATCCTTCAGGCAAGAATCACTCAGACGTGTGCACATAGAAGACGCAAATCCCAAGTTCCATCCTGCATTTTTGGTCACAAATTCTATCGTGAGACAGCCATAGGACGTCGCTGAAATATCTTCAGAGTCATGCCACATAAATGGGTGCATGGCTGGTACATTTCTGACTACTGACGGGGGGGAGACGCCAAGTCAACTCCGAAGGAGCTCAAGAATCCAATGTCCCGTCTCCTAGCCACAGAACCGAAGCGTTCGTGGACAGGTGCAACTGCTGGAAGTCGCAATGGCTTCAATATGCAGGTGTACCTGTGAGTCGTACCAAGGAGAAGATCCGGCACGAAGGTCCAAACGGGTCGCCACCCAGCTCTGGGCTCAGTCCCCAAAGCAGACTCCGACATGTGATCCATGTGACATTCAAGCAAATTTGCGCTACACCTGCTGCCCCAACAGGACGTGCCAACCACGGAACCAAAACGCTGGCCAAACCAGACACGCATCAGCTGTCAGGCGACACGAGGCACCCCAGTGGTTCTCCGCTCCGGTCGGGAGGAAATCCGCAGAGCGCACGGGCGCAGTTTTGTCGCACACAGGCACTAGATTCAGAAAACAATGCACGATCCAAAATCCGCAACGGCTTTCCAATCGGCCAGAACATCTCTGCACCGCAGCAGCCCCGGACGAGCATCGCCACATCCCCGAGGCCGCTCTTCCAGAGAGCTCCTCAGAAACGGCTGGCGGGAGGCTTCAGCAAGATCTTGGGAGCCTTGACGCTGATGTCCTTCAGGTTAGCAGGCTTGCTGTCGTCCTCGCAGACTGCCGCCAGCGTGACCATGCGCTCCGTCCACGGCTCCTGCCGCGTCTGCCGCTCCGGCGCCCCCGGCGGGAGGGGCGCTTGCACGCATTGCGGCGGCGACGCCATGTGGGCAGGCGTCCGCTCGATTGGGCCCACCCCCCTGCACCAGCCTGGCAACTCGGCCGCTCGATTTGGGCCCACGGCTCGCGGCCCGAAGTTGACGTCCCAAACTGTCCATTTCCGTCCTTGGCTGTCCCATCCTGCCCTTGCTGAAACCTCCTTTTTTAAGTCTGCTAGCCTTCAATGTTGGAACTTTCAGTGGTTTCGAATAGGGCAGCAGGGTGCACTGGCCGCGAAAAACCCTCAGGCATACGCAAGCATGACTCAGCAACATTGCGCGATACTGGGACACAACATTTCAGGTCAGAAAGGGAGTGAGGACGCATTGTTTGGAAGGCGGAGGATTCTTCCCGGAAAACGGCAAACAACTTGTGGTGGAGGGTTGAAAATATGGGAGGCTTGAAGCAATGGCAGGCGAAGGGGTAAGCCTCACATGTTATGAATTGGCACGTTTGGAGGGCCTCCCAGGAGGTTGGCACACTTGAGGGAGGTTTTGAACCAGTGAGGGGCAGTTCGTGCCTCTTGTTGGCGTGCGTCGATTTCCGAGCAATTGCTCAATTCCTTATCGCTACTGGGCTGTCCCTCCGGTGCCATCAATTTGACGTTAGGAGTGTTAATACTGGGATCATGTCATACCCAACAGAGTGTAGGGTTGAAGGGTCGCTGAGTTTGTTGTGAAGTAATTCTGAGTCAAGTATTGGACATATCGACAGCGCGACATTGGAAGTGCATTGTGTGGAGGGGCCAAGGCATCATTCTCATTCTGTGGGTTTGCGGGTTTGGGCGTATTTCCCGCACTCTTTCCCTTGTTTGTTGCCGTGGGCTGGTCGTGGGGCGCCATGTTTCAACCATCCGTCTTGCAACGAGTGCTGGCCCTCAACGGCTACAATGTCTTGGTGTAACGAGGCGACTGCAAGTCAATCCGCGCGGTGCAAGCGTGAGAATGCGTCGGCCCTCCTGAGTGTGTGTGACCCTGTTTCCTGCCGGGCGAACAATATCGGTGCATGTGACAGAGTCTGCAAGGCTCGCCAGGACCAACGACCTTTGGTGCTGTCCGTTGAAGAGCAGGTTCAGCCATTATGAACGGCAAGGAACGCGTACGTAAGATATATCTATAAAGATATCTAGTGTACCGATGTATCTATGTGCGCATATCGCAAGATGAGCAAGCATGGTTGACATTGAAGGGAATTTGACCGAGTTGAGAAGGCACTGCTGTAGACCTTGGAGAATGTTCCCAAGGTGCCGAAAAATCGATCGTGGTGTGGGGAGCGCTGCCGAGTGAGGGCCACGAGAAAGGCGCCAAAAAGCCAAGAAGTGAAATGGGGAGTGATCACGCTGTGAAACTGGTCCGAGGTTCCTGAGGTGTTTCGGATATGTGTATCTCGCAAAAAGTGCACTTCCGGTATTCCTCAGGATTCCAGAACCAGCCCGTGGTGCGCGACGTGCTGGCGGTCATGACAGGCAGCGCACCGACTAGCAACAGGGCAATTCGGCAATTTCCTTGTGGCATGGCGCAAGCAGTGTCTTGGCTGTTTCCCGCGTTTGCTGAGGTCACTTCGCGATTTTGCGTGGGGAACGACGATAACAACCGCTGGAATTATTACGGTGATCAACGTGTTCGATGGCGTGGTAGTAATTCCTGCCTGTCGTCAAGGTAATTTTTGGTACAAGTCTTTGGCACGAGTTTCTGTTGGTGCGAGCTCTTTTGGGTGCTGCAGAGGGCAGCGGTTCCCGCCGTGCCCATCTCAGGAGCGATTGTAGGGTCAGAAGAGGCCCGAATAACGCCACGATTCTGATGGCCTTGATCGTGGCCGTGTTGAAAACCGCAACTGGACGAAATGGGCCGCTGATGGCCCCTTCCTCGCCTCGGCATCCAAACCATCCCGACTGATTGAAGGGGGCGCGGCAACGGGGAGCGAACGGCGGGTGGCCTTAACTTCAAGCGCGGGAAGCACGTCGTCCTCAAGCAGCCAACAGCAGCTTGCCTTACCTTGTAAACTCATGGAGCACGTTGTCCTTGGGCTCCGTGACAATGCCCCCTCTCACTTGACGGGGGCGTGATGTTTGCCAAAGCGTAAAAAGCCCCACCTTGAAATCCTTGCGGCGCCTTGTCACGCCGCCTCCTGGCGCCCACCGCCACAAGCCTCTCCTGGGCCCAAGGGCCCGCGGAACTCCCCCCCCACAGCAGGCCACGTGCCCCAGGCATGTCCGACGGCCGCTTGCCCACACGGGGCCACGTCATTGGGAATCCCGAAACCCCATTGGCTCGCGCTGCATCTCGGTGGAATGAGTCGTATCGGCACGGATCCCACCCCAAGGTTCTGATGCGTCACTTGCACGGCGTGGCCTTCCTCTCCCTTCCACCGTCCGCCCCCGCGCGCCTGCGGCGGGAGAGCACCCCTGGGACGCGAGCCGGGCGCCGGGGGGGACAGCCAGGGGCTGCGGGAGCATCGGTGCCCGTTTGGGCGCCCGGATTTCTGAGGACCGTGGCGCTGCGCGCCTGAGGAGCCCCTTGCGTGGCGACGGGCACTCCTGCCTTCCCGCCCTCAGGGTGCGCGAGCGCGGCCGGGCGGTGAATCCGGGCGCAGGTCTGGCGTTTGGGGCGGTCCCTTTGGGCCTTCGACGGGCGGGTTGTGTGTGATCGAGACGGGGTGGCGGGATGCGCCGCGGTTGGTGGTGGCGGGGGGTTGGCGCACCTTGCCGAAGGTCGACGAGGCGCGCATGTGCTCGTGGGCGAATGCATGCGGGCCGGTTGGCGGTTGGATTCTGTCATTGGGCGGTGTGGCCTGGCCGCGCACCGCGCGTTCGCATGTAATGGGACTTGGGCACGGGAGCCGCAGTGCGCCAGCTCACTTGGGTAACATCTGCGGCGCGGAGATGGGTGTAAGATGCGCTTCTGCCGGCGGCAGCGCCACGCGTTGGGCGATGTGGCCTTTTGGGGGGCTGCGCGTCCATTCTCTGCTGCCATGCGTTGATGATGTGATGTCAGACCGTCGTGCAGCCGTCGCTGGGGGACTGCGGGTGGCGGTGGCACTCGCAAGTCAAGCGGTTGGACAGAAGTTTGGTCAACGTCGAGCAAGCGGGTTTGGTGGGCCACGCCTGCGCGCCCGGGAGCCAGCGCTACGCTTTTTGCCGATGCGCACAGCCATCCTGCAGATTGAAACGCAAAATGAGAACAAGGGCCAGGATTGGATGTGCGCAGTGGTCTCAAAAAGGTGGTCTGCCCTTGTCGAATTTGTGAAGTCGAGGTGTCCCTCGTGCGGGCTGTCACTGTCGAGTTGGCCGCCAAGCCAGTGCGATGGTTGGGAGGGACATCCAGGTGGAGTGCAGCAGGTGGTAGATTCAGATGTGAGGCATCGTGGACAGCACCACGGCATGCCCTGGGCTATTGACTGGTGTGTTGCCCTGTTGCAGGGGTTGTTCTGCGCAGAGATGTCTACCACATTCACGGACAGGATTGATGCAGTCATCAACATTGCCAGGGAGGAGCTCCCACACGCAAGGTACCATGTCAAGATCCTGGAGTTCATGTTCCTGCAGATGGAGAAGTTTGAGGGTATGTCTGTGGTTGAAAATGGGACGACAGTATCGGAGAGGCTGCTGATGTGGCAGCACTTGGAGGAGGCGTTGAAGGCCGGAAGGGCGTTGATCAGGAAGCACGCAAGCCGCCTGGATGTGAAGGCATTCTTCAGGACCTCAGAGGTGCACGTCAGGGTGGAGGAGATCTGCCGAGGGCTGCAGATGTGTGCCAAGGAGTTTTTGCGGAAGGGCTGTCTACTGATGGACCTTGAAGAGATCGAGACAGTAGTTGACGGAAAGAAGCTGTCCGCAGACAGGTCGTACATGTATCACTACCTGTCCTATGTCATGGAAGGCGAGCAGCCATCCATAGACCTCGAGAACACAGATCCAAATGGCGATGCAGAAAGGGAATGGTTGAAGGTGAAGGCAGAGCACGAGTCACGAATGGTACGTGGCACGCTGCCCATCATCTCGGATGAGGGCGCGGACAAAGTTCAGGTCCTCAAGGAAGTTGGCAGGAGCGACTGCAGCACTGTCTATAAGGGTATCTGGCGGAACATCGACGTTGCAGTGAAGAAGTTTGCAGAGGGCAAGTTCAGCCATGAAGCGCTGGCCTCTTTCTACACTGAAATCGAGATCCAGATGGCCATGGCGTATCCCCACATCGTGCGAATGTATGCCATCAGCACAGAGGGTCTCATGGTGATGGAGCTGGCGAGCTGCAACTTGCGCGAGATGTACATGCAGGAAACCAACATGCCTTGGGCCATAAAAGCCAAGATTCTGTTGGAGGCAGCCCGGGGATTGAAGTTTGTACATGACCAAGGATTCGTCCACAGGGCGGTGAAGAGCCAGAATTTCATGGTGTTCAAAGACAGCCCTGGAGGTTTCAGCATCAAGATCGCCGACCTGGGGTTGGCGACTGTCAAGACTGAAACCAGGTCCAGGACTGGCAGGCCAATGTTGGCAACCACGGTTATGACGGCTCCTGAAGTCTGCCAGGGGAGACTGCACAGCTTCAGGAGCGATGTCTTCAGCCTTGGGGTGCTCATGTTTGAGGTGCTGTCACAGTCCGCTCCTTACCATGGGGTGTCCTCACACGACCTGCTGTTGGGCCAGAAACGCAGGGGTGCGGACCCCTGCAAGGTCCCCGACGGTTGCCCAGAGTTCTTGCTGCAGTTGATGAGGAGGTGCATTTCCCCAAGACCAGCGCAGAGGCCGACCATGTTTGAGGTTCTTGAGGGGCTGAAAACATTGCAAGCACAGGTGGGTATTGTGTGGTGTCCTGTGCTAAGGCAGTGACTCGACGCAATTTCAGCCTGTGCTGTGCTGTGCACAGGTGTTACAGTGAACGTCCATCGCTCATGTGTGCATGAATACACATGCATGTTGTTGCACATCTTACCTGCCAGAAACCACCACAAACATGAGTAGTTGACCCAAAGTGAGCGAACAGGCTTAGAAATGCAACATGTCAGGACACCATTATACGACTGGGAGCAAGCTTACCAGCGGCATTGCATAAATTATAATTTTCTTTTAGTGAAGGGTGCTGAAGAGAAGCTGTGGGTTTAAGTAGCAAAATGCCATGAAGATTTGCAGATTGAAACCAGTAATCCAATGGAAACCAGCCTTTGTTGGTACAGTTGTTCTATTCTGCTAGTTGAAGGCTGGGATCTGTCTTGTCAGCGCAGCAGCAGCCAGATTGTTAACTGACCTCTGGGCCCAACCAAGCACTAAGTTGTGAGATTGTGGTGTGTTTGCAAAGCGCCAACTCATGGTAAGTCTCTCACCAGATAAAGCAATGAGAATAATCAATAGTTGACAGCTGACAGGGAAGAAAAAGCATGATTAAGGCCTCTACGTGGTGCTGAATCATGCACAGCTGTCGTCCGGTTGACAGGTCATCAATGCAAATCGAATCTTGCTGTGAATTGAGTATTCTTTCTGCTGTCTATTGTGTTTGTGGCAGTTCCAAGAGGATGCTCTCAAGCGCCAACCGAAGACTGGCGCAGCACTGAATTTGGTGGGTTCCAAATTTGCATGGGCTCTGTGGAATCAGAATATTGATTTGGCCATCTTCTGCCACTTCGAATGTATAGAATATGCAAGACCAGTCACCATCTGCCTGTTGCTGTTGTTGGCGGTGTCTCTGCAGCTTCATCTGCGGTTCAAGAATTGGCTGTTGGTGTCCCTTGTGGTGCAGAAAGCTCCGAAAGATTCAACATTCCGCGTGGATTGTGCTGGCTTCAGTGGCAACTGATAACCCGGCTGCTGTTTGCATATTTATAGGCAATGCTTAAGGACTCAGCTTTCAGCATTGACGATGCTGGCTTCAGCGCCTTCAGCTATGCAATGGTAAGGGAGCGCTAGCCAAGGAGCTGATTTGCTTTGCCGCCTGTGCACAAGGGTTTGCAAAGGGGAATTCCATGCGATTCCATCTTTATGCTTGCCTTGGACGTGTACAAATGTGGGGCTCAATTCACAATTGTGTCCTCATCGAATGGCAGACGCGTGGTCAATTTTGCCAGCTTGAAAATTGAGCTGATATATGTTGCAGTGCCACGTTTCGACTGCAAATTGGGGTCTGATGGCCATTCTTTGGCTGCAGAACGTGCACACATATTCGATTGGCATGTCAGCCTCTCAGGACAGGAAGATGTTGCCGCTTCAGGTTGGTGGTTTAGATTGTTGTGGCAACTCTGTTTTGAAATGCGTTGGGCCCAGGGAGCTTCCAGTGCAACAGAGCTTTGTGTTCAGTTCAGCCAGCAGGTGTTGGCGCACAATGGCTGCAATTATTCTGGTCAAGCATTGGGGATCCAAGTGCCTTGTCAGTGTGGGTGTTGAAATTGCGAATTTTGTTCCTGTGTGCAGGAATCCACAAGCAGAGACAGTAGAGGACAAGACCCTGTAAGCAGAGAAAGCAGAGGAAGCAGAGGCAGTGTATGGCAGGTAATTGAGCTTATAATTGGCTCAGGGAGCTGCCTTGAACTATAACAGTGTTGCTGATGTCCAGACTATGGTGACGGTTCTCTGTGTGCACAGGATCCTGTGAGCAGAGAAAGCAGAGGAAGCATCATATGGCAGGTACGTGAACTTAGGAGTGGCTCAGGCTACCTGCCTGGCACTGTTGCAACGCTGCTAATGCCCAGACCGTGGTGAATGGTTCATTCTGTGCACAGGATCCTGTCAGCCGAGAAAGCAGAGGAAGCGCATGGCCGGTAGGTGCACTTAGGAGTTTCTCTGGAAAGTTGCCTTGCAGTTTAACTGGCCTGCTGATGTCCAGACCCTGGTGAATGGATCTTTCTGCACATTGTAGCCTGCAGGCAGGGAAAGTGGATGGTGGGTAGATGAACTTGGGATTGGCTCTGGCTGGGGCACCTTGCGCTGTGCCAGTGCTGCTGATGCCCTCAGTTAATGGTGGTTTCCTTGCACAGGAACCTGTAAGCAGAGAAAGCAGAGGAAGCAGGGGAAGCAGGCATTGGGTAGGTAAACTCGGGACTGATCAAGGCAAGCCGCCTTACCCTGTGGCAGTGCTGCTGGTACCCTGACCCCACGTAACTGTTCTATGTGGACACAGGAACCCACAAGCAGAGAAAGCAGAGGAAGCAAATGGCAGGTAAGGTGGCTTGGAGTTGGTTCAGAAAAGCTGCCTGGCAATGTGACAGTGCTGATGCCCAGACTGCTGTGAATGTTTCTTTCTGTGCACAGGACCCCGTGAGCAGAGAAAGCAGAGGAAGTAGATGGCAGGTAAGCAAACTTATTGTTGGCCTGGGGAAGCTGCTTGGGACTGTAACAATGCTGCCAATTTGCAGACCGGTAAAGTGTTTCTTTGCTGTGTTTAGGAGCCTGTAAGCAGAGAAAGCAGAGCAAGCAGAGGAAGCAAGGGAGAGGTAAAAAAACTTAGGACTGGCCCAAGAGAGCCGTATTTGCACTGTGACACTGTGACTTTTTGCTGATACCCAGACCACTGTTGTGTGCTATGTCGTTGCCGATTAGGCTGCAAGTGTGTTGTAACAACTGAGTAGCATACACAATGTCTTTGTGTTTTTGTCCGCAACGCATATTCGATCCTAAGATTAGGTGTTGTGCATCGTGTTGACAGTTTCATAGTTCATTGTTGTGTGCTGTGCTCGAAATTTTGGATTTTGGTTCTGCAGAATGGCAGGGTCACAATGCTGGCAGAAGGCTACAGAAGGGAAGCCTCGAAGGTATGACAGCCCGTGCTGCAGGAGTCTGTGCATTGGACTTGACAGCCGTGTTGAAAGATTGCAGTACCCGTTGCGCAGTACACAGCATTGCCAATCGCCTTTCAGGATGTTGTGCAGCGCTTGGTTCACAACCGTAAACACAGATGAACTTAACAGGGGCACATGATGAGCTCTTCAACGGCATCTAACTTGTAGTGTATTCGTGAACAGCTGTAGCACAATGAATGCTGCAACTTTATTATGTTGTGCTTCCTCTGTCCGAAAATAAATGTAACAATTAGTTTGAGAGGCTACATTTGTATCACGAACATGCGAGTTTTCCTTCGAGATGGGACCAAGGTGCTACCTACACATTTACTATGTGCTGCCAATTTTTTTTGTGAACAACGGATGAGTACTGGCCACATGGCAGTATTTTGAGCCCTTGTGATACGGGCCAAAACGCCGAAGCTCCTCAAGGTCTGGCCGAACAGCCCACCAAAAGGGTCGTTGACCAGGTCGCCTTGCGACTGACGGTGCGCAGCCCAGAGTGGATATCTGTTGCTGCTGCCTTGGTGGCAGTTCGAAACCGTTCCTCTCAAAGGGGAAGACCATGAAACCGGGTTCTGTACCGCTCGAACATTGATCGCCACGGTGGTTTTGATGGCCTGATGCGGACAGCAGCTCTGGATCGGAGACCCAGAAATCGGCGAACTTCATGGCGTTTTCAGAAAGGGCCGCCGCCATGGGCGAGGTCGCCACGGGTGCTATGACCACCAAGGAAAGTTTGGGAGAATGTGATCAGGCCCTTGCTGCTTGGCAGCCCAAAAAATCATCGAAATTGTTTGTGATGGGCACGTGCCGCGAGCAGCGCTTTGCGTGCTGTCCATGCCGCTTTCAAAGGCGTTGCTGCTACGGAGCTTCGCCCATGCCATCACAAGATGCAAGAACGCCACCATAGAAACACGTGGGGTCTCCGATAGAGCATCCAAACCCTCCATTGTCATGTTTGGGGGGTTGATGCCTGTTTGGAACGAGTGGTTGCTTGCATCAGGCAGGCACTTAATCGGAGAACTGTGCTGAACGGAGCTTATGTTGCATGCAAATATCCCGCGGCTAGTCTTTAGCCACCAGGAGACGTCTAGGCAGAGGGGGATCCCAGGCATGTCGGTATGCTGCCGTGGAAGATGGCAGGATTTCGAGCACACATCGATGGCGGCACGCAGACCAGTCGCCATTTCTGTCGATCGTGCTTTGCGGTGGGTGTCGATCTTTAGGCTGGAGCCCGAGCGCCGAGGCAACGCCACCCTTCCGATACTGTGAAGACCACTGGAGGGGACATCACTCGTGCGCCGGGCATTCCTGGACGCGGGCGCCAGTTTTTTTTTTGGGTGTGGGGACTGACTGCAAATGTGCAAATGCCGGAGCTGAGTCGCCCGGCTTCAAAGTACTACCATATGCCCGAATCTATTTTCTGCCAATAAATTTTTGACACCATTGACTAAACACATAGTAGATACTCTGGTCCAATTTTCAGGGAAGAGCAAAACTACATGATAAGAATGCAGTCGGTCAACAAACAGTTTCACTCAATTCAGAGAGTGCTCTATGGCACACATGTGGGAACCAGATACGACGCCCACTGTGTCCATCATCGTCAATATTTTTTAGGAATTTCTCAGCACAAAAAAGGGGTCAAGGGAACGAACTTGACAACGACAATTCCAGCATTGACTGCATCAGCAGAAAGTAGTTCGCTGTGCCAACATTCCAGCTGCAGTTACAGGGTGCAGCTGTGCACACCCATCAGGGAAGCGCAAGGCTCCAAGCGAGGTGCTGTTTGTGGAGTTGAGGCGATCACGTTCTCAATGCACGAAATGTGGAGGGATTTGCTGCTTTTGGCATGGGCATAGTTTGGAGATTGGCACTCGCTGAACGAATCAGTAAGGAATATCCAGAACGTTACAGTCTAACACATGTGCTGTGCTGACTTTCTTCGCTGCGATTGATGTCAGAATGGCAGACGGACACCAGAGGCGTTTGTGGGGGGAGCGCCAGCGGCGACAGAAGCTCAAGCCCACAAATCCTCAGAGGACACTGGGTGAGCACGTTAGTCAGGTTGTTGAGCATGTGTAAGTTTGTGTTGTGAACGTGAAAAGGCCAGCTACGTCAGCTGCGTGTCGTGGATTTCCTTGTGGAAGATGGAGGCAGTGGCACATGTATGCCAACACAACATTCCTCAGGGGTGGATTCACAGCCCTGCACAGAATATGCAGCTTGATCTAGACTGCGATGTTGGACGTGCATGGTTGCTCGAGTGCTGGTGTTGACTCACACTTGCTATTTTGATAGACGTCATGCATAGCTGTTGGCATTGTGGGACAGATTCAGGTGGGCATAATGTGTGTTGCTGTGATGGCAACAGCTGAGCACCAGTGACCTGTGATCGTCGGAATGGACAAACTTGAGAACCATCGGCTATCCGAATTGTGTTCTTGTCCAAGAGTTGAACTTCAGTGGATGAGGGACTGTGTCTGCGGACGTCTGGAGTTCGCCCAGTTTTCGTGCTTGTCAAAATCGGATGACTTGCAGTAAGGATATAGACAACCTCGCGTGTTTGCAATGTGAAAGTTGGCAGCCAACATGGATTAAGGTGGCGTTTTGGTGCGATGGCATGGTGTGTGCACCAACAAGTCAGGGACCTGGTACATTGAGCTGCGAATTTGAGACTGACAGTAAAGGTGTTCAGGCGTCCTGCGGCAAGATGTGTTCTTTGTGTTCAGAGCAGATTGTCTCGACAGATGTGCGTGCCCAGGATAGGTGGCCCTGAAACGCCTTGTGGGGTGTATGTCATTGACACAACCTCTGTCAGTGTGCTCCTCTGTGCATGCACTCCATAATCTTGGCACGTCTCCACTGCGTTTGCAGGTCGTTCAAGCTGTGCGGGTGTGGCTGCTTGTTTCGGCGGGCTAGAAGCAGTGAAAGCAGGACAAGGGCGGAGCACCAAGAGTAGCGCAACTTGGTTGATGGTGCAAGAGCGACCGCTGCCTCAGATGATGAGAATAATGCAGCCTGCTGCAGGTTGGTAACTATGTTGGGGATAACTATGGTGGAGAGGCCAGGGGCCAGTGGTCACATTGGTTGCATGTCTCTCTGACGGGGAGTAGAGGCCAGATCCTCAAGCTGGGGTTATTTCACCACATTGGGTGATTTGCATTTTGGGTGTGCTCATTCATCGTCATTGAAAGTGCTGTACCTACCATGGTACCGTGCGGGGTAGGTAGTGGGGGGCTGAGAAGGCAAGCCGTGGCAGAGCGCATTGCTCTGTCCACGAGCCGCCTGCCTGAGGGAAGCGATGCACAAGTGTCGCACAGCAAGGTCATCCGAATGTGTGATGCCTGGGAGGCGCAGTGGCGCATTGTCAAGGTCAAGCGGAACGAATGGATGGCAAGTCAGAGATGGGATAGCTACGCTGAGACCGTGCACATCCGGTTGTGGAAATTTCGAGGAGGGAACGCCCGCAGCGCCATTCACGATGATGTCGCCGGTCATGGCATCTGTCCAGACAAGCCTGACTCTCGTTCATTGAAAATTTTGATCGGATTGAAGTAATTGCTTGTATGGAGGAAACGAACACGGGGCATTGCCGCAGCACTGCCTGGCAGTGCGTACACAATGCATAGAATATGCTGCAAAGAATCAGCCTACAGCTGCTCTTTTTTGCTGATGTCCAGTCCATGGCTGTCCCGACGGGAGTGTTTGTTCTTGCGATGCAATCCAAGGAGCGGCTGCCGAGCCCGGAATCTACGAATCATGAAAATCGCAGGAGGATTTTCATGACAGCATATGTTCGCGACGCCATCATTGCAACGGTTATCAATACGATGCAACAATGACACCATTATGTATACAATGGTATACGTCGGACACAACAGCACCTTTGTTTATCAAGCATTAAGTCCTATGCTTGCGTTTGTCCCCAAACGTCTCCTTGCAAGCCGCTTCATTTGGCGCATGATCATCGACAGTCTACTCAAGGAAGTTAGAAAGACTTGGAATCTAGGTTCCGTTGCTGCAATGCCTTGGGATCTCATTGAACTAATCATTCATTCAGGACATACTACACATCGAGGCAAGGATGCGGCCATCAGTTCCCCATTTTGCCCGGGGGTAGTGTCCATGATCTGTTTGTGAAAATCGAAAGTATTGCACGAATGAAATGTAGAACCCACCAGTTTCCGATTTCCAGAGTTTGTTAGGAGATTGTCGACGACAATACATGAAAGCAGTGTCCTTGGTAGCTGGTCAGCGGGGACAGAAGCAAAAAGTGTCCTAGCATTGCTATGCCAGACGACAAGCGAGAGCTGCTTGGACACGCACCATCACAGGCATGGCCACGGGTGCAATTTTGCAGCCGGCGCACACCTCCTTGCCTCAATCTTGGAGCAGTAATGGAGTAACGGATTGGCTGATAGGCACCGCGCAAAACAGTACAACATGATATGTAATGCTCTGTACATTACATTTCAATGAACTGATGGTGGATACGGCTGAGCTCCGGCAAAACATGAAGCTGACGGCTACCTCCTTGTTGTGCAAAAATGAGTGGTGTTGATGACACGCGCCAAATGAGCGCCGCGGCCTCCTCTGCCGCCATCCTCTTGAGTGCGTCAGGGACTTCGACTGCGCCACACTCAAATCGCAACGAGGGCGTGCGGCGCCGGCCACACGTCCCAGTCCCGACGATTTCGACCCTGTCTGAGACCGCCGTTTGAAGGGGCTGGCCGCGTTCACAGCGAGAAAGAGGGACCCACGCTCGGCGGCGCGAGGGCGTTGGTCAACATGGCAACGCGACCAACACGCCCCTACGACTCGGTTTACGGTACGGTTTCCTGCGGGCAGCGGCCCCAAAACTGCCACCTTTAGAGGGAGGCACGTGGCAGGTCCGGCGGCTGCAGGGCGTACTACGACACAACTAGTCTTCGACTTGTAACTACACACTGTAGTCGTAACAGCCTTTAGGCAAAAGTGGCACAAGACTTATTACATAATACTACCGTGTTGTATCGCGTTTTCCCGAGCTGGCTAAGTCAACAACTGCCCGATTCCCTGGTCAAAGCGCATGTCGCGGCGGCGCCATGCGCATCATGTTAGAATCTCCGCCCTCGTTGCCTTAACATGCAATGCTTTCCGGATGAATGATGGATGGATGAGCAACGATAGTTGGCCACAAGGTAGCTGTTTTCTCGGGCAGAACGGGGGCTTGACGGCCGCGTCCCGGGCTTGATCTGTAAAGTTTTTTGGCTAAGGGACGGCACCCGCTTTGTTGCGGGTGTCACAGACATTTTTGGCGTGATTCTGACTGGAGTCTGGGAAGCTGGGACTGCAAAAGGCAGCTGAACGGCCATGTGTTTGCTTTTCCCGCAGATGTCATCTATGTGGTGTCTGGCGCCCGAGATCATTACAGGGGGCAGGGGCGCGAGTGGGGGTTCGCAATGGGATCGGTACCCGACTACACCAATTTCTTCTCACAATTGGCGCATCATCCATCCCAGCTGTTGCGGTGAGGCGATGCTGAATATAGGAGGCATCATGACCCAAGCTTGTTGACGTGCTGCTCCCAGACCCAATCCTGTGGCCCCTATTGCAAGATTAACCTTCCGGATTTCATCGCAAGAAGGCCTGCCTGTCAATGTTGCCATGGCATTTACCACTTCTGCAGGCTGAGGGCTGGAAATGGGTAAGCTGTGCGCATGGTTTGACCGTGCTTTCTGGGATGCTTGTATCGCAATGTTGCAGCTTTGTGCCAAGCAAAGTTGTGGCTGCGCGATTCCGGGACCGCGACAGCAATCGTGAGAGCAAAAGAACAAGATGTTTTCCTGAGCGCTTGGCCATTCGTCCAATGATGCTGACAACATGCTTGCTTCTGCCGCGAGGCACCGAGCGTCCCTCGGAACCTCCGATTCGGAATGCAGCTCTCCAAAACACTGCAGAGCCTCTGCGACATCGTTTCGTTGAACTTGATAACCTTGACGTAAACAATCCGTGCCAATACAACATTGAAATTGTGCTAGAATTTTCAGCCTTAAACCAGATTCTGGCAACCAGTTCTGTGAGAGAACACGGAATGGCTTGAGCAGCAAGTTGGAGGCGCCCAACCCACAAAACTTGTCCGGAAATTTCAGTTGTTTTCTTGACACACGCTGCCTTTGTGGCCCTTTGACAGTGTCGCCCAAACTGGACCAGGTTCAAGGGCGGAGACAGGCTGCCGGCGCACGTGGACAGGAGTTACCGCCCCCATGCCACCACCATGCAAGACCTCCGCTGGAAATCCGAAGATTGCCAGGTCACGGGGAGCAACAGACACATGTACTTCAGGCGGCCGGTCTTCGGTGGGATCACGGCGCAGCAGCCTGCGGAGGTACAACAGAGAGCGCCTGTGGGAGCAGCCCAGCAGCAACAACAGCAACTTCCGGATCAGCATCCATATCAGCAGCCACAGACTGAAGCGGCACAAGAGGGACATGGTTCGCAGCTTGGGAATGAAAACGGGGATCAGAGCTGTGACCCTGGGGACGCAACAACCAACGCAATTGGCACCCAAACGGACATGAGAGAGTCCGAGGCACAGACCCTGCCGTGGCAGCCCGAGTGCATACTTCCCAGCGAGCCGTCGGCCAAGCAGAGGCACCTGTCTACGAAGAGGCACTGCCAGGGCCCTGAGGTGCTGCAACTCCAGGGGCTCACTTTTGGGGGAGGCCTGCCCGCTGGCTTGCAGGAGGTCGACCACATAGACAAACTGAGGGCGAAAAGGGCATTCGAGTCCGCCCTGCCGCCCCTGAACTGCTTGGAGCTGCTGCCCCTGAGGCTGAAGAAGATCGAGGGCTGGGAGACCAAGGAGTGGGAGGAGCGCGAGGAGGAAATTATGGGACTGCAGGAAGAGAGGCTTCGGCTGCTCGATCAGGCAATTGCGTGCAGGGAGCAGGCGCAGGATGAGAGGGTGTTGGAGAAGCTTGAGGAGAGGAAGTCACTGGCAATGGAGAAGCTCCACCAACGACTTGCGGGACTGCAGAAGCGGCGCAATGCTGTGCTGCGTCATCTAACGACGTCCCGAAAGAAGGCGGCGCAGCGGGGCAAACCTGCGCGGACGTGGGTGCAAAAGTACGCGGATTCGGGGTCCAACATATACGCTCCTCTGCAAAGGGAGGGGAGGTTTCCTCACAGCAGGCCCAAAGGGCAAGAGATTGCCACTGAGGCGTTTCAGCCGCAGGACCTGAAGCGCCTGGGCGATCTGGAGAAATCCATGGCTGGCGCTCTAACGTTCGTGGCATCCAAGGCGCGCTCAAAAGCAGACCGTTTGGCTGCCAAAGAGAAGAAGAGAAAGGCATTGCTGGAGAGATTGGAAAGCATCTACCAGCGGCTGGAGACGGCCAAGGACACCGCCGGGAGAGGCAGCGATGAAGCCTGGCCGTGCCCACTGTTGGAAGCGGATGCGAACAAGAGATCGAATAAGGGTGGGCTCAAATACGCAGGTGAGGATTTTGTGTATCCCGGCGACAGAACGAATGGCCAATCGCAATGAAGGACTGTCAATTGTGGTCATTTGCGGGAGTGCGCTTCGGAACAAGTTGCATATCCTGGACATATGCATCCTGGATATGGGCGCCATACTCCAGGACATGGCCACCATATTTCAGGATAGGGGCGCCCATACCCCCGAAATGGCCCTATCGTGGGTAAGCGTACCCGAATATTGCGCTCAAATCATTCAGATCAGATATCCAGGATTTAAGACATCTTATCGGCGCATTCTTCGTCACAATGGGCAGAACACACGCGTTCGCAAAATACACGCACCATTGAGAGAATGAGAGCGCGGAGAATCTGCAGTGCTTCGGTCGCTTCCGGTCCCGTCCACGTATGCATAACAAGAGCAGTCTGATCGGCGGGCGAGGCCAGACATCGCCCCCAGTAACAATTGTGTACCTGCCAAGATTCTGCCCCAAATTGGAAGGCGATCACAGGCGTGCTTTTCGCTGCGCGATTGAGGCCCCCTCAACTGGGCCATATCCATCCCATGGCGTCCAAACCCGTGTCCACGGGCTCGCGATGTGGGCTGGGGCGCCACAGGCGCATAAGGTTCCAGAGTAATGCCGCTCATGCGCAGAAAACTACCGTATCCTGGAAATCTATACCGAACGAATTTTCAAGCCAGGGGTACATTTGCCGCAGTATCTTACTTTTGAAGGGAATGATGTGTCGGCAGACGCTGCTTGTTTTCGAATCCCCGCCGCCGGGAAATGAAAGGTAAAGGTCACGAGGCGGGTTTGCAAGGCGGAGGTCACCGTGCTCTGCGGATATCTTCAGGGCAAGGTTGTATAACAGCTTTCTGTGCTCGCAGAGCGGCCCCCCACGCCATCGGCAGTAGAAATGTGCAGGGTCAAAGCCGCGCCCCTCATTCTGCTCCAGCGCCTTCTCAGGGGGCGTGCCGTCCAGAACGATATATTGGATGGCCTCTCTCGACGAATGGAGCTCATTCGAGAACTGAAAAGCCGCCAAACAGGTGAGCTTCGATTAGCGAGACTCCCCATGCTGGTAAAAAACAGCAACGCCTTGCGACAAAATCTTCTGTCAAATTATGCAAGTAATCCGCAATTGCTGAACAGAGCAGAATCCACCACTCTGCACTTGTTGGCACCAAGTTAGTGCTGAGTGGCACTATGAATGTATCCTTGGCCCTTGTTCTGTTGGGGTATCAGGGATTACGCATAGATTGTTTCCCAAGGAACCACAGCAAACAATGCATTAGGGCCCAGGAAAGAAATTGTGTGACAATCGCCACGTTGATCAAACGAACTGCCCAAGTGAGGCATCCGGTTTTTGCCAAATGTGATCACGAACGTGGACGTGAATGGAAATGTGACTGCGCCCCTGGCAGAAAGGCAGCTGACACAAAATATGCCGCTACTGGCGTTGAAATTAAGCGAGGTAATGTCACATCCCACAATAATAATGCTATGTATGTTGGTGCGCGACTGCTGCGACTCTGCACTGCAGTGCATTCAGGCAAAGGCGTAACGAAGGGTATATAGGGCACCTGGAAAGCTGCTCGCACAACGAACGGATCAATATTTGATCGACCCAGAAAATTGGCCCGCAGGGTGGATGCCAGCAATCTCCCTGTTCGAATCGATGAAGTCGCGATTTAGGACTGCGTTTGTCTGAAGCTCAATTGCTTAATTCGGCGAAATTGGGTGAGCCGCATACTTAGGCACCCACAGTACGACGAAGAGGGGATATGCGAGCGCGAAATGTACT